TCCTTGAGGACTAAGGTGTGCCTGACACAAGCCATGGTATATTCAATAGCTTCATATGCATGTGAAAGCTGGACAATGAATGACTGAAGAAGACCTGATGCTTTTGAGCTGTGGTGCTGGCAAAGAATGCTGAGGGTACCATGGACTGCTAAAAGAACTAATAGGTCTGTCCTGGATGAAGTGCAGCCAGAATACTCCTTGGAGGCAAGAATGGCTAGAGTTTGTCTCACATACTTTGGTCATGTTGTCAGAAGGGACCATTCCCTGGAGAAGGATGTCATGCTTGGTAAGGTGGAGGGCCGACGAAAGAGGGGAAGGCCCTCAATGAGATGGACTGACATGGTGGCGGCAGCGATGGGCTCAAGTGTAGCAAGAATTGTGGAGCTGGCTCAGGACTGGGTGGTGTCTCGTTCTGCTGTGCATAGGGTCCCTATGAGTCAGAGATGACTCGATGGCACTTAACAACAACAATAGAGATTTGTCCCTTGTCTGAGACAGCATTACCAAATTTTATTTTTCCAGTTTGGGGGTTCCCTTTCTACTGTTTGGGTGAAATTGTTTGATAGACATATGTGTCTAATTTTGGGAAGTCTCAGTCATCTAGTTTGTCTTCTAGTGTTCGCACATTTTTACTTAAGTTTGATAGTGTGTTTGTGCCATGTATTAGGGACCTTTGTTTTTCTTAGATGGACTTCATAGTTTTAGGCCTTACTTTTTAAGTCTTTGATCCAGCTTGAGTTTATTTTTTGTGTATGGGTTGTGTTCAATTTCTCTGTAAATGGATATCCAATTTTGCCAGCATCATTTGTTAAAGAGACTATCTCTTCATCATTTAATGGGTTTCGGCATTTTGTCAAAGATTAGCTGTCCATAGGTAGATGGATTTCCTTCTCTATTCTCAGTTCTGTTACACTGTTTTATGTATCTGTTGTTGTACCAATACCAGACTGTTTTGACTACCATAGCTGTGTAGTAGGCTTCAAGATTGGGAAGTGTGAGATCTCTTACTTTCTTCTCCTTTGTTGTTGTTGTTATGTGCCATCGAGTCGGACCCAACTCATAG